GTAAGTAATCGCTTCTGTGTCTTCTTGTAGTTTACTTTGAATTGCCCCCTCCCACAGATTTCTTCTTCGTGCTTTAGTTTATCCCTTAGTTTGTTCAGTGCACTTCATCTCTTTACAATATATCTTCTAGGTTGATACATGAGATACAGGATGTCACAAAGTAGATAAAATAGATTTTTACATCCCTTAGTTTGCCTATGTATGCGAAGGTAGGATTAGCGACTCAGTTTTGCGGTTCTCATCAAACCACCCGTCTATCTATCTACCTACACTCTGTGTTTTTTGCATTTCTACTTATGTATTTACGAATCCATTCATTCATCAATCCGCTCACCAGTCCATCTTTCCTGCTTTGTAAGGCTTTTGAAAATGGCCCTTGACTTTAAGTAACGCCGGTAGCAACCATGTATCGTTGCGATGTTTAGTAGACGGATCAAACTGTCAGTATGACAGTCTAGAATTCGTCATCTTTTTTCCATTGTCGTTTTCACTTCTATTTACATTTCAATCATGCTCCTTGAAGCAGATTCATCATGCTCGGCGTCTCTACCTTTTGAATTGGCATAAACGTAACTCATATTTCCATTTTATGCTGCCATGTTTTGACATAATTTTTGTGAACATTAACTCAATGATGCATTGCAGTTCTCATGTTGGGATTGTGAGAGACCTCACAACTAAGCATTACTAAGCCTTTTTTTGTCAATCACCAGTATTCTTTCCTCCCACCCTCAACGTCCCCGCCTTCCTTTTTGCTGTCTTTTGCCAATGTATTTTCTAAACTCAGAATGCTGAATGACATCGAGGGCGATGGCCAGGAGATCAGAAAGACCTTTAACCAAATAAGAATGGAGATGGAGCGCAAAAAGTAAGATTATTCGCTTCTTTCGGATTCGCTCTTCACTTCAATCCCTCCCAGCCCCAGTGGCATGAACCGGATCACGGTGACGTTGCATGCAATAGTTAACACCCTCAAATTTATGCACGCTTTCAAGCTAGCCAAATGCTGCATGAAATTTTCTAATAGGGTGACAAATAATACAATTCATGTCTTTATTCCTAAAAAGTCACTTGTCAAGGTGACTTTGCTTCTTCAACCAATCAATTAATTCACATGATGCTGAACTGTCGAATGAAGGAATTTTTACCTCCATCACCAACATCGTTGCAGAGTCTGGAGGTGTATTGTGGATTATTTAGAAATAGCTATTTGGACACCAGTCTAAGTTTTCCAATTTTGTGTGTTGACGTGTCATAATTGAAATGAGGAGGAGAGGATAGTGCTTTGATAGCTGTGAAGTCGGGTTTTATCTGCATGTCAGACGGGGGTGGGCGATAGACTGTCAAGAATGCGGTTCGTGGAACTGATTATTTCCTCACTAACGTACTGAGGTGAGTCGCGTCGACCATGGCACCACTGCATCCTCCGTATACTTAGCTTGCTTTGTGTGGACTTCTGCAATGGTAGGCTAAATCCAGGCCTGACACTTTAGTTGGGGGAAAGCTCCGCTCCTAGCCTTAAAATCTAGATCAAAACCTTAACTTTATTGTGAAATTCATGGGCATTGTGTTGGGGAGGAGATAAGACGGTCTCCTCATCTCCTTACTCACGATTCTCCGTAGCTCTCTCACATCATTTTATCCAAGCGTTAATTACACCTCTCACTTAACGTCATTACTACTAAAACATGATCCCTGAACTCGACTGGTCAATGTCAAGCTAACTTCCTCCGCTACTTGCTCGACTCAGCTTCATAACACACGTCCTCTTCAAGGGACGTTCACGCCGTGATGAGTAAGGCGTTTCCAACTGACCAGTTTAAGCATTCTAACATCGCAATAAGCTTTATGCCACTTTGCTGTGTCTTTAGTCCTCGGTTATGACGCATTTACCTCAGTGCTTACATTTTACTATCAAAAGAATAGGTCATTCCTTCAGTAATCAGGATTAGGAATTGGACTGACACTCCTTGATTGTACTTCTCTGGTCCTTCTGATAGGTCAGAGTCTGGTGCACCAATGAACCCTGTTACCTTATGGTACTGGCCTCGCACATACTACTAAGTTCAAGTTTATATCAGTAGCATGGTCTGCTTTCATCATCCCTCATTAATAAGTATTTCATCTTACATCTTCATAATGTTTTCATCTCACGATTCTGCTTCTCAACCTCCAATCAAGGCTTTAACACCGAAGTAGATGGATTACCTGAAAGAATGACGGAATGATGGACTCCACACTTAACTTGAGCAGTGATGGTGTTGAACAACATCAATAAGTGTGAAGCAGAAGGCAAGGTTTACAGTTTTTTTTTCTTCACTCGTGATGTGATATGACAAGCTGCTTGAAATTGCAAATCAAAGGTCTCCTTTCCTCCCCTCTCATGCTTAAATGCAATTGCCTGGGTGTTGCTAATGCACACTTCTGTACACCAACAACACGAACAGCGCGTTGGCGTCTCGCTCCACTTAAACTTCACTTACGCACCCACCTGACAGTGCATCACACGCTCCTACACAGGGTCCCAGCGCACCAACACACAATTCTATCCAAGATGGCACGCAGGCAACTGTGACCAATCAGACTTCAACCTCGCTCCCTCAAGGTGCACATTAATTCAGCCAAGTGTCTGGCCTGCACAACAGCAGCGGTAGGCGGGTAGTGAAAAGGCACCAATCCACACGAATCTTACTTTCCCTTTTAGTATTGTTAGCTCTCTGCAATCCCAACCACCGCAAATCCACAAGAGAGCAGGTGTGTCGGACATGGAGTCGACCCGGAGTGGAGGCTACTCGAGTTCTCACATGAATGGCAGTGAGACGCCTGGTTATGCACAGCACCGAACTCCAAGCGGACCTGTTGGTTCGGGCGAGGACGCCTCGACTCACCAAACCATCAATCAAGGCGGTAACAAGGAGGGCAGAGGAAATGCTCCAGCTGGACTGGCTCAAATTAGACAAACTCTTGCTCTCCCTGATCTTCAACTCAGTCACGTGACTGTCTTCACAGATCGTGCCGAGCTAGTAAGGACAATCACTCCGGTCTTCAAGGCGGGCGAGATTGTTGAGATGCTCTTCGAAAATGTCTCTACGGCTATTGATAAGGACTCAATTAGGTAGGATTCGAGAATTTGCCTTACTTGACTGCAATGCACAATGCGCTCTTTGAAAGTGTTCCATGCTAACTACTGCAAAAGTGCTCTTATTGGACCGCAGAGAGGAAGGGGCGGAAAGCGGAAAACTCTGACATGAACGCTCAGCTACAAGTAAAATTAGCTAATATTAAGAGTGCTTTTTTTTAAAAAAAAAAAGTTTGCTCCTGCATTCATGTTGCCTCATCGAACCTGTGCTTACTTTTGTATTGGTGTAGCTTTCTTCTCATAGTGATCTTTTTAGAGCGACTTGAGTGGTTCAGATTCACACTATTCTTGGTAAGGTAATGCGACCTCTGTGTTGTGTGTGCTCTGTTTATGCAATTTGTGAGCTCTGAAGTTAAACCCACTGAAGTTCACCGACTGTTCGATAGACAAAGGC